ATGTACATACATTCATGTATTGTACGTGCATATATAGTACATATGGATATGCATACATGGAACATACGTGTATTGTACATGTGTGGATACATTCATTGGACATATATACATTGCACCATATGCAAAGATAGGGATAGCATGCATGTACACATGCAAAATTTGTACGAAAGAATTATGTCCAATATATTAATGCACATATGTACTGTATATGTACACACATATGTACATTATATGTTCATTTCATTATATGTACATTACATGAATATACATTTGTACGCTATATGTATATACATCTGTACAATATATACATCTGTACAATATATGCATCTCAAATGTGTGTATGTACATACGTTATGCATGTCGAATGTATGTATGAATATATGTAAAATATAAATACGCCCAATGTACGTACAATCGTACACAAATGTATTATGCATATTTGGATACATACATTGAGCATGAACATATTATGTATATGTACATAAATACACTGGACATGCATATCATGTACATGTATACATACATATATTGTACATACTACATATATACCTATATTGTACATGCATACATGTATTATACTGTTCATAAATAAATTGCACATGCATGCATGGGACATACATTGTACACACAATGTATGTATGTTCGTACAAGCAATAAGTACTTGTATATACATGCTTACATGAACATAGATATACATTTTACATACACAAATATTTGCATAAAATGCATATATTCGTCGTGTATAAATGTACATGTCTACATTGTTTGCACATACATACGTAATTATTATCTATATACATACGTACATATATTTTATACTTACAATATAAGTGTATGTACGTGTGTGTGAAACTAAAATGTCTGAACATATGCACTAGATAAAATCATATGTACATACATTTTAGTTACATTCATTTCTACGTATACGAATACGTACAAAATGCAGTACATGTAAATACGTGCAAAATGTATTATTATAAAATACATTATACTATCTACTGTAAAATATAATCATTTATAAGAATAAGTCTTGTAATAGTGTATTTAGATTACATGTAATCATAATTACATGCAATCAAATTACATGTAATCAAGTTACATGTAATCAAATTGCATGTAATCATGATTGCATGTAACATATATTTTGATTACTTGTAATCATAATTACCCGTAATCGTTTTTGTTGTGATTACTTGTAATCGCAATTACTTGGAATCATGATTACAAGTAATTGATTACTGTAATCAAAATTGTAATCATGATTACAGCTGTAATTAAACTTTGTAATCACGATTACAAGTAATTGATTACTGTAATTAATATTGTAATCATGATTACAGCTGTAATCAAAATTTTTGAAAATTGTAATCATGATTACAAGTAATTGATTACTGTAATCAAAAAATGTAATCGATTACATTTTTGGCCAACTCTGTGAAGTGCAAATTCTTGAGCTCAGGTGTAGTGTAATAGGATATTTCACGCATGATCAGTTTTTTCAAGAGTGAACTCCTATTTAAGGAGGCAGGTAACTTCTTTAAAAATTCTAATTCGGAAAAATACTTCTTATTTTACAAATGTTATTAAACATGTGCATTTTTTAAATGATTATTTATATAATTTTCACATTCGCCATTAGTTTTCCGCTGATGAAGCAAAAACGAAGACCCTAGTAAGCAGCCAAAAACTAAATCATTATGAATTATTATCTTTTAACTTTTTTTTTAATTCTCCAACCTTGCTATTTAAACTCTATGATCCGCTGTAATATGTTTTTGTTTGAGTCAAAATATTGGCATTTTTTATATTTTTTACAATTAACATTCATCAACATAGCTCAAGAAATTAAAATTTTAAAAAATTTGAACTCATTTTTTCAGAAAGCGAATCTCTAACAATACTTCGGTGATTAATAAAAAAATAATTTAGCACGATTTCTGAGTTAATTTATCCTCTAAATACTCCCCCCTCAATTTAAAATTCGATGATAAAATTGATTAGTTTTTGTAGAAAGAGACCGTTACAAAGCAACTGAAATAAAAGAACTGATAATAAAGAATACATAAAAGTTTGCTACAAAGTACACTACACTAAAATATATAAAAGTACACTACACTAAATAAATTATTTGTATTAAATAATCAAAATATAAATTTACGAAATATTTATTTGTTTTATGTAGTTTTTACATTTAAAAATGAGAAGTATTATGGCATTCAGCTAATTTATGCTTTACAATATTTGCAATGTTCGAAATGCTTAAAAGGTATCCACTTAAATCCTAAAGGAAGGAATTCAAACATTTTGATTCTATTTATAGTTTTCGATTAATTAAGCCACAGATTATTTAACCAATGAATGTCACTGACTTATTGATCAAAAAGTTAAATTATTAATTTAACTCAGTAAAACTTAAAAGAGTTATCTACCACATATGCATTAAGTTTCAGATAATTTCGTTTACACTCATGTCCATAAATTAAGGATAATGAAGTTCAGGCACAAAAAGAGACAGAAGCCAAACAAATTTGACTTACTTGTAAAGTCTATGTATTAAACAAAAGGTAAAGAGCAAAAAAGATGCTATATGTTTGACATAATTAATAAAAATGGCGATTTTTACTCCCTGGAGCAAATTTCAAAAAAGAACCTATTTACAAAAAACAGTATAACATGGTTAGTATGATGGTTAATACGGAGTATGTCTCCCGGACGATGCAATACAGGCCGTACAACGCCTAGGCATGCTGAGTATCAAATTATCAATCTGATCTTGGGGAATATTGGACCACTCATCAAGCAATGCCCTCCGAAAGTCCGGTAGACGGGTGGGAGGGGGTTGACGGGCTGCAATTCGTCGGCCAAGCATATCCCACACATGCTCTATTGGATTCAAGCCCGGTGAGTATGCTGGTCAATCCATACGTGTGATATCTTCCGATTGAAGGCATTCGTCTACAATGTTTGCACGGTGAAGACGGGCGTTGTCGTCCATAAACAGAAATTCAGCACCCATGGCGCCCCGAAACAAACTTACATGTTGTTCCAGAATGACATCCCAATAGATGTGGCCTGTCATCGTTACACTCTGAACATGCAGGTCAGTTCTGGAACCAAGAATAATTCCTCCCCAAACGAGCCATCCTGCACCACCGTAACGGTGT